GAAAGAGGGGAGATGGAGATGAGATGTGGGGAAGAACTTCTTTGGTGTGAGGGTGGTGAGAGCCTGGCCCAGGTTGTGTGGAGAAGCTGTGGCTGCCCCATCCCTGGAGGGGTTCAAGGCCAGGTTGGAGGGGGCTTGGAGCAACCTGGGCTGGTGGGAGGTGTTGGAACTGGATGGTCTTTAAGGTCCCTTCCAACCCTAACCATTCTATGATTCTATGGTCTGGTGGGAGGTGTCCCTGCCCGGGGCAGGAGGTTGGAACTGGATGGTCTTCAAGGTCCCTTTCAACCCAAACCTTTCTATGAAACAGCAAGTTTAGCACTGGAAGCAGTGGGTGAGCCAGCACTCCGGTGGTTAAGGTTCTTTAGGTCAAGTAAGAGCGAGGCTAGAAGAGCGGTTCGTTAAAGCTATTAACCCAGAGGGCTGCCAAAGGGGTCTGAGGTAACTTACACCTGGGGCCTCCTTCGCCTCTGCTTTCGTTTCTTTATTTGCATCTTGGGTTTTGGAAGCTGCTTTGGCTGCAAACATTCCCATGATCCCTTTGGGCTGCTGCGAGGTCTGTTTAGAGGCCGCCGGACCGTGGCCGTTGACCACGGGCGCGTTGAGGGTGTTGGTGTCACTCTGGGACCCAGCCTGAGCAGACGTCTGCGCTGGAGAAACTTCAGCCAAGGGCCTGGGGATGGCAGCGGCACATCGAATGGCACTAAACCTGTGTGACAGAGTGAAAAATTTAATTAGCCTTTTAACTTCTTTTAGCTTTCACCTCGGTTTCCTCGCCTTGCTGCTCCGGTTCTGCATTCTCCTGTTATGGGGAAAAAAAAAAATAAAAAAATAAAAAAATAAAAAAATAAAAAAATAAAAAAAAAAAATAAAAGAGCCATTTAATTTGCACACGGGACAAGGAAAGAAAGGCTGGCACAGAAGGAGAGCGATGGAGACCTCTACTGAAAGGATCAGCAGAACCCGTCAGCAAGAGCCAGAAGCCAGAGTTCAAATGCCAAACAAGCTGTTCAGCTTTCCTGGGGGGTGAAAAACCCATCTCCACACCCAGGGTGGAGATGGAGCAGGCTGCATTTTATTCCTAAACGGGTTACTCTCTCTCTCTCTAAAGTTCACAGCATAAATCCTATGGCTGTCTGATGATCTAAAACATTTACAGCTTTCAGATGATTTGACAGAGTCCACTATCGCCGCAAGGGAGCAGCCGCCGTCGCACCAGCCAGGTAAGTAAATCACAGCTGAAAGTGAAGTAATTAAACGGCTCAGAAAACACTCACGACATTCAGATTTAACTATATAAAGTCATTTCCATGTCATCACTAGTTAGAGGGAGACGCGTGTCAGCTTGTGACAGCCTGAAGTGTGATTGTTTGGGGATGGGGAGATAGAAGAATTAAATGACGCGCTCGCAGCGCCAATACAATTCCCTGCCAGTCGGGAACAACGGTGCCCAAAAATAACTGAACTCTGCTCCCCACTGCGCAAATCACAGACGAGGCTTTCCAGATTTCCTACCCAAAATGCCACAAAAGAGCACAGCCTCACGCCTTCCAACCCCCCGAGTTACACAGCGTTATTTTTATTTGCATAAGAAAGAAAGCAGCCTCCTGCCAATTAGTTTCTGCGCCTCGGTATTAGCGGCTCACACGCAGAGTCCACTTCTTCTCGGATCAGGAACTGAACTGGATTAACAAAACAACAGCATTTCTAGGCCACAGCCACAATCTCTTGACATTCAAACCTTTAAAGGAAGGAAAGAAGACACTGAAGAAAAAAAATATTCCTACTTTCTTTTCTACTTTTGATCCATTTTCAACGTGGTCAACGCCGCCCCCTGGACAGCTTTAGCTCCCACTCCTCACACCCATAAACAACCCAAACCCTCCAGATGACAAATAATAAACATAAACCATAAAAATATATTGACTGTGCAACAAGCACATGTAAACCTCACGCATTCCAGGCGCTTGGGAAGTTGACTTGCCTTAATGCTGCCGTGTGACTATAAGCTGATGGGCTCCATCCAAAATTCACTCAATAATCACTGAAAAAATAAGCAATATTTGGACTGTGCTCCGCAAGCAAGGAGCTGCTTCCGCTTGGAAAGCTGACACGAGCATTAAATCCAGTCTTAGTCCAACATCCAGCCACCTCCACCGTCTTCCCAGGTCCCATAAAACACAGAAGAGAATAAAAAATCCTTGCCCCAAAGCTTGTGAGATATATGGACTGAGAGGGAAGCACAAGAAGCCAGTAGGTTCTATTTTCTCTAAACACACACACACACAGTCAAACCTCTGTCTTCTGCAGGTGCTGCAGGAATCTTGTCTCAAGTGTAAAATAGAATTCAGGCAGCCGACAAGGGCGAGGGAATGTGATAATCTGAATTTAGTTCAGCCAAGCCACAGGTGAAGGAGGTGAATTTTTTCATAGTTTGGTTCAGCAATTCTGCTCCAAAGCCATGGATTTCCACACAGGCTTCACAAAGTTGATTTCAGGATCTCAATTCTCTAAACCTTCTGGATGCACAAATCCTAAAGGCAGAGTCCTCTAAGGACACAAGTATCACGGTCCAGGGGTGGCCCAAGAGTAAGAAGACCAGAACAAGGCAACTGCAGCCAAACCCATGGCACGTGTCTGCATCAAAGCAGGGTTTTCTAGCACTTTAGCAGGGTCTTGACACTCACGTTTGAAACAGGCAGCTTTTAGAACAATTGTTTTCTCAGCAAATCTCTTGTCAACATTTTGAAGACAGCTACGGCTCTACTTTCAGATTCTATACTCTTTCTATGACACAACATTCAGGCATCCCCTTTCTAAACCAGATTGGTCATGGCGCTGTACATCCCCATTACGTCAAGCTGAAGCTGTCGTGGTGGAAACGACATATAAATGAGAAGCCCCAGCTGCCAGGCACTGCTCAGGAGGAGACACAATGACCCCTGGAGACTGAAGACCCTCTGAAATCCAGGACAACCTTTCTCTAGTTCAACCACAAAGGGCACTGAGCCATTTAATTTGCACACGGGACAAGGAAAGAAAGGCTGGCACAGAAGGAGAGCGATGGAGACCTCTACTGAAAGGATCAGCAGAACCCGTCAGCAAGAGCCAGAAGCCAGAGTTCAAATGCCAAACAAGCTGTTCAGCTTTCCTGGGGGGTGAAAAACCCATCTCCACACCCAGGGTGGAGATGGAGCAGGCTGCATTTTATTCCTAAACGGGTTACTCTCTCTCTCTCTAAAGTTCACAGCATAAATCCTATGGCTGTCTGATGATCTAAAACATTTACAGCTTTCAGATGATTTGACAGAGTCCACTATCGCCGCAAGGGAGCAGCCGCCGTCGCACCAGCCAGGTAAGTAAATCACAGCTGAAAGTGAAGTAATTAAACGGCTCAGAAAACACTCACGACATTCAGATTTAACTATATAAAGTCATTTCCATGTCATCACTAGTTAGAGGGAGACGCGTGTCAGCTTGTGACAGCCTGAAGTGTGATTGTTTGGGGATGGGGAGATAGAAGAATTAAATGACGCGCTCGCAGCGCCAATACAATTCCCTGCCAGTCGGGAACAACGGTGCCCAAAAATAACTGAACTCTGCTCCCCACTGCGCAAATCACAGACGAGGCTTTCCAGATTTCCTACCCAAAATGCCACAAAAGAGCACAGCCTCACGCCTTCCAACCCCCCGAGTTACACAGCGTTATTTTTATTTGCATAAGAAAGAAAGCAGCCTCCTGCCAATTAGTTTCTGCGCCTCGGTATTAGCGGCTCACACGCAGAGTCCACTTCTTCTCGGATCAGGAACTGAACTGGATTAACAAAACAACAGCATTTCTAGGCCACAGCCACAATCTCTTGACATTCAAACCTTTAAAGGAAGGAAAGAAGACACTGAAGAAAAAAAATATTCCTACTTTCTTTTCTACTTTTGATCCATTTTCAACGTGGTCAACGCCGCCCCCTGGACAGCTTTAGCTCCCACTCCTCACACCCATAAACAACCCAAACCCTCCAGATGACAAATAATAAACATAAACCATAAAAATATATTGACTGTGCAACAAGCACATGTAAACCTCACGCATTCCAGGCGCTTGGGAAGTTGACTTGCCTTAATGCTGCCGTGTGACTATAAGCTGATGGGCTCCATCCAAAATTCACTCAATAATCACTGAAAAAATAAGCAATATTTGGACTGTGCTCCGCAAGCAAGGAGCTGCTTCCGCTTGGAAAGCTGACACGAGCATTAAATCCAGTCTTAGTCCAACATCCAGCCACCTCCACCGTCTTCCCAGGTCCCATAAAACACAGAAGAGAATAAAAATCCTTGCCCCAAAGCTTGTGAGATATATGGACTGAGAGGGAAGCACAAGAAGCCAGTAGGTTCTATTTTCTCTAAACACACACACACACAGTCAAACCTCTGTCTTCTGCAGGTGCTGCAGGAATCTTCTCTCAAGTGTAAAATAGAATTCACAAGGGCGAGGGAATGTGATAATCTGAATTTAGTTCAGCCAAGCCACAGGTGAAGGAGGTGAATTTTTTCATAGTTTGGTTCAGCAATTCTGCTCCAAAGCCATGGATTTCCACACAGGCTTCACAAAGTTGATTTCAGGATCTCAATTCTCTAAACCTTCTGGATGCACAAATCCTAAAGGCAGAGTCCTCTAAGGACACAAGTATCACGGTCCAGGGGTGGCCCAAGAGTAAGAAGACCAGAACAAGGCAACTGCAGCCAAACCCATGGCACGTGTCTGCATCAAAGCAGGGTTTTCTAGCACTTTAGCAGGGTCTTGACACTCACGTTTGAAACAGGCAGCTTTTAGAACAATTGTTTTCTCAGCAAATCTCTTGTCAACATTTTGAAGACAGCTACGGCTCTACTTTCAGATTCTATACTCTTTCTATGACACAACATTCAGGCATCCCCTTTCTAAACCAGATTGGTCATGGCGCTGTACATCCCCATTACGTCAAGCTGAAGCTGTCGTGGTGGAAACGACATATAAATGAGAAGCCCCAGCTGCCAGGCACTGCTCAGGAGGAGACACAATGAGCCCTGGAGACTGAAGACCCTCTGAAATCCAGGACAACCTTTCTCTAGTTCAACCACAAAGGGCACTTGAGCTGCTTGGTCTGTTTTTTAGGCTTCCTCTATTCCTCAGGTTTTCATCTTAGAGGTCCTACAAGACATCTTCAAAAAGGCAGAGTCCAATGGATAAAAACATGATTGTAGAATCATAGAATTGTCCAGGTTGGAAGAGGTCTTTAAGATCATTGAGTCCAACCATCAACCCAACACTGACAAACCCACCACTGACCCAGGTCCCTCAGCACCATGTCTGCCCAGCTTTGAAATCCCTCCAGGGATGGAGACTCTACCACTGCCCTGGGCAGCCTCTGCCAAGGCTTCACAACCCTTTCCAGGAAGAAATTGTTCCCAAGCTCCATCCTAAACCTCCCCTGGGGCAACCTGAAGCCATTTCCTCTTGTCTCATCGTCCCTTGGGAGAAGAGACTGACCCCCCCCTGGCTACACCCTCCTTTCAGGGAGTTGGAGAGAGCCAGAAGGTCTCCCCTCAGCCTCCTTTTCTCCAGGCTGAACATCCCCAGCTCCCTCAGAAGTTCTCCAGACCCTTCTCCTTGTGCTCCAGACCCCTCACCAGCTCCATTGCCCTTCTCTGGACACGCTCCAGCCCCTCAAGGTCTTTCCTGTTGAGAGGGGCCTAAAACTGGACCCAGCCCTCGAGGTGGGGCATCCCCAGTGACCAGTCCAGGGGGATGGTCACTGTCCCAGTCCTGCTGGCCACAGTGCTGCTGATACAGGCCAGGATGCTTGTGGCCTTCTTGGCCACCTGGGCACAATCTCCCAAAACAGAAGGAAAACTCACGTCAGCACTTTGCTGAGCACATGGCTCATGTTTTTCTACGTCTGTTTCGATTTACTCTTATTCTGTGACTGAGAACTGGATAAAAACCCTCATGACTAAGCGTGGCCAGGAAATGAGAAAAAGGTTTCTAGCCACGAGAGAAGAAAGGTACTGGAACCATCTGCCCTTTGGAGTAACAGAGCAAGTGAAGCTGGAAATAGCTCAGTTTGTGAAACCACCATCCAACGTGCTGTCTGCGGGCTGCTCTGGCATCACTTAGAAGATATCTTTTTCTAGCTTTCTAAAAATCCAGGCGTATCTGGTAACCCTTGGCTTCTGCTGAAGCGCCCCACGTAGCAACATCTCATCAGTCTCAAACCCCAGAGCACCAGAAGAAAAACCAAGAAGCCACTCACTTGCTGCAGTTGTGGAGGTTCGCTTTGACGATATCGTAGTCCGTGTTGTAGAGCGGCCCGCTGTCCTTCAGCAAGGCTTTCTGAATGCTGTAGACATGCACACTTGCAAGAGTGCTTAGTTTAGACTTCATTGCTGGAAGGGGAAAAAAGAAGAAAAAAGCCTTTACAGGATCAGGCAGCAACTTTAAATACCAGGCTGATATCTAAATAGGATTTAAATAATTTAAATAGGATGAGGAGAGACCGAGACACCACTCGACAGCAAGGACCTGAGTCTAAAAATGTCTAATGGTACCTTCTTCCAGTACTCCCTGATGGAGGAATCAAGGTAAGAGACTCCACAAGCCTCTCAAACATGATTTTCACTACAACTGGAGTAAGGGCAACGTCTCTGGGTTTACTTTCAAAATATCTGGTGTTTGGGATCCAGAGTATCTATATGGCTTCCTAAAGCTAAAGAAGAAAATAGATGGTCATCTCTCTACCCTGCTGGAACTACTCTGCCATTAAGGTAGCGCCCATTGTATCAACTAGGGTCACCCTGTCTTCTCCAGCAGTCTGCTGGGATCAATGTTTTGTCTTTTCTACTCTATTCAAAACATAACCCTCTTGAGATAAGGGCTGTTTTTCAGGAATTCTTTGTTCCTTGCTTATATTGTTCTTTCCACACTGCCCTCCCTGGACTGAGAGGGAGCTTCTAGGCACTGTAAAAATACACACACAGTAATCATTTCTTGGGGCCAGTCCTGGACTAGTTAGGACAGCCTTTACAGGATCAGGCAGCACCTTTAAATACCAGGCTGATATCTAAATAGGATTTAAATAATTTAAATAGGATGAGGAGAGACCGAGACACCACTCGACAGCAAGGACCTGAGTCTAAAAATGTCTAATGGTACCTTCTTCCAGTACTCCCTGATGGAGGATTCAAGGTAAGAGACTCCACAAGCCTCTCAAACATGATTTTTACTACAACTGAAGTAAGGGCAATGTCTCTGGGTTTACCTTCAAAATATCTGGTGTTTGGGATCCAGAGTATCTATATGGCTTCCTAAAGCTAAAGAAGAAAATAGATGGTCATCTCTCTACCCTGCTGGAACTACTCTGCCATTAAGGTAGCGCCCATTGTATCAACTAGGGTCACCCTGTCTTCTCCAGCAGTCTGCTGGGATCAATGTTTTGTCTTTTCTACTCTATTGAAAACATAACCCTCTTGAGATAAGGGCTGTTTTTCAGGAATTCTTTGTTCCTTGCTTATATTGTTCTTTCCACACTGCCCTCCCTGGACTGAGAGGGAGCTTCTAGGCACTGTAAAAATACACACACAGTAATCATTTCTTGGGGCCAGTCCTGGACTACACAGCCCTACTCCCATCACAAATCTCAGGCTCTTCCAAACGTAACTCATACCTCTGGCCTGTCTTCTGATACAAAAAACCATGAGCAACCCTTTCCTCTGCAGCAAAACAGAACGTTACGCAGCACACATAATTCAGCAAACGTGACAGATGGTAGTTGCGCTGCTTGACATTCTACTGCCCTGATGAAGACAACTTTAGAGCTGGAAAGCCACTCCAGATTTCCAAAAGGGAAATAAAACAAGTCTTTCAAACAAAGTTAGATCATTACTATGGATATTCAAGGTCGCAGTATGCTCTTCAATGCCTAAAATGTTATTTGAAAGTGACCGAGAGCCTGCAATTGTGTTTCAATTAATAAGGATCTGATCTCATCAGCAGGACCAGACCTGAAAAGATTTAGGACTGACAGTGCACAGAGAGGAGTTTTGTAAAGCAGTGTCAGAGTGGTGGGTTTTTTTCACCTTTTATTGTGAAAGCAAATGCCCCAGACAAAAGTGGTAACATTTAATTAATACCCACATCACTCAGGGCAAACACAGATCGCAACTGCATTTAACCAATAACTAGAATTATCCATTTCAGCATCCTTGAAGGCTCATAATTGCTCTAAAATGCAATTTTAGACACTGCTGCACGCTACTCAGAGATTGTTGCCTTTAAGGAGGAGCTGCTCGTCAGCGGCAGGGAGGTGGAAAAGAATTGCCCACTAAAATGTTAGCGTGAAAAAACCCAAGCCATCAGACCCAAATCACAAGTCTGAAGTTACACAGCTGTTGGCTCAGATATTCAAAATTCTGAGAAAAAGCCAGTACAAAAAGTACACACCTGAACCCAAGAGCCCGACCGGGCGTTTACGTGCAGATGGCAAGTTAGGAGCTTTACTCACTTTGCTGTTCTTTCAAAGAAAAAAAAAAAAAAAAAAGTTAAAAACCACAACATTTTCACGAGCTGCTTACCTTCGAGTTTATCCTCTCTCACTACTGCAACCTTGTGGCACTGTGAAAAATAAATAAATGGCAATCTTAACATTTGAAAAGACCTGTTGTACGTAAAACTGGTATTTTCAGTTATCTGTTAAATAAGAAAAAGTCTACGGATTAGAGGTGCAGCTTTATAGCAGCAAGGAACACTGCCAATGCCTTTAAAGAGTCATCAGCTACTAGTTTTTAAAGGTGGATCTCTCTGCTTTTCTAATAAACTGTTTCACAGATCACTATAACCCTAAAGAAATCCTCTGTCCTCCGTTCCTGACACCAGGAGACAAGACACAGATGAAAAGAGAACTAAACAACCGGGCAGCGCAGCAGAGAAAAGCAAATTAACCCAGCTGATGAGCCAAACTGCTAGAAATCTGCCTGCCCCAGCCCACATCACCCGTGTATATTTAGATTGCCAGTAAACTCTTAACGTAGGCACCAGAGAAGTAAAACACCATGAGAAATTAAGCATTAATTTCAAAAGTCATAAATCAAGGTTTCTGGAAATGTGCTTTAGAGCCCAGTCTTCAAGGGCTCTACCTGCTCCGTGACATTTAACAGGCTGCGGTTAATACAGAGAGTATCCAAACAGAGAGAGACTGGCCAAAATCCAACCACGAATTTTGTGCTTAACTGATACCACAGCCCAGCCAGCAAAAGGGTAAGAGGCAAGAAAAACGTAGACAACCTGAAACGGTAAATAAAAGATTTGAGAGCCCAGGTCCCTCATCGAGGCTGAGAAAAAGCAGCAAGGAAAGAGCTTAAGACAGGAGGAGAATTATTGGTGACCAATTTCTATCCACATCTCCCTTCGGTTGAATCCACAGCCTTGTGGCTACACCTACTGACAGCAGCCAGTAGTGCAGCAAGCACAGGGTAGGATCTGAAGCACTAATATCCCTTTTCCAACCCCAAATTGACTCGTGCCAGATATTACCCAGCAGCTACCCCAGTGCTTGAGTATCTCCTGGAAGTATCTTCTAGATCTGAACCTCTTCTCCCACCCACTCCAGCCTGAGGGACTTTAAAATCCTCCCGTGTGACATTCCTAACCCTGGCCTTGCTTCAGCTCTGCCCCTCAAAACTTACTGCCCCACAGGTCACTCTTCTATTTTAGCTTTCAAAAACAAGACATTTAAAACCAAGAAAAACACAGTGACCTTTATATTTTTACCTTTTAGATCTTGTTTTAAAAATATATCTAAGTTGCTAAGACAGAGTTTTAAAAAAAATTATTTCTTCCTATGTCAGAATTCATTTATTTGTTTGAAATACATGATGGCAAATTTAAAAACTATAGAATACATTGACAAACCTCTGGCCAGTTCTAGTGAGCCAGGAAATGCTTGTTATTTCCAGAAGAAATCAGGGGGGAAACCTGTTAAACTCAAGCTATAAACACAACACTACCTGTACAGCTTTAAATAAATATATTCCATTACACAGAACGAATGCAATAAATAATTACCTTCAATTTCAGACCAATCTGGAGATTTAAAGAGAACACTCTATGCACATGAAGCAATTAATTATTTAGCAAAGCCTAAAAGGTGTGTTGGTTGTTTTCCTCCTAATCTACACATAAATGCCAGAATACCTTGATATGTACTAATTCTAAATGAACACTATGGACTGCTATTGTATGAGATATTTAGGGTATTTAAATATACAAATAGCTAAATTCATATAGAAGAGTCATCTAGTGGAACATCAAAGGCATTTAGTGTTTGGCTATTAAATTCTTCAGTGAGCAAAGGGAAGCAGGCACTCAATTTGCTCATCTTCTTTCAAAAACCTCTGGGGTACCCCCTTCTGAAATTTTAAGATGATATTCTTGAAAGTCTGACAAGCAGCAACGATTAAAAATAAATAGATTATTAAGCAAAGGAATTGCTACTTAAGTCAAAGGATTTTAAATACAAAATACTGTTAATAAATTTATGTTGCTCTTGTATACCAGGATAAAAAAAAATAAAAGTTGTTTTAATTAACAAGACAACTTCAACCATTTATTTATTATTCTACAAGACAACTTCAACTATTTATTTATTATTCTATTTATTATTCTTCTATTCTAACTGAAATCCAAACTCTCTCCAAACACTACTCAGGACACTTCCACTCCACAGGAGATCCTGGGGAATGGATTCACTGATCTCACAAGAGACTGTTTAGAAAATCTGCTGTCCAATATTAGGGATAAGATTGAGAGATGACTGGTAACAGGATTTAAATTAATTAATTAAAAACCACCTCGGTGCATTATTCAGCACTATATTACTGAATTATGACCATCTGATATTTCCTCCCCATTATTTTTATGCTGGGACCAAGATAGTGCCTTATTTTGTACAAGACCTGGCACACTGTGTCTGCCATTGAAAAAAAAAAAATAAAGTCCAGCTTTTAATCCAAAGATTACAAAACAAGACGGAAAACACAAGAACAAAGAGCTCCCAGACACCTTTGAGAAATAAAACACTCACAACGTGTCCATTCTGGATGAGGCTTCCTGCTACTAAGTAGGTGACATGAAGCTGAGCTCCTGAATTCTCCTTTCGTTTCCTCTCCACGTAATCATACAGCATCCTGCACAAAAGAAAGCAGTGTTAATCACCTAGAAAGGAAGGAGCCTGTCACCACCCCTTCCGTGAAGCTTACAGAAAAAAAAAAAAAAAAAGATTGAGAGATGACTGGTAACAGGATTTTAATTAATTAATTAAAAACCACCTCGGTGCATTATTCAACACTGTATTACCAAATTATGACCATATGATCTTTCCTTCCTCTTATTTTTATGCTGGGACTGAGATAGTGGCTTATTTTGTATAAGACCTGGCACACTGTGTCTGCCATTGAAAAAAAAAAAATAAAGTCCAGCTTTTAATCCAAAGATTACAAAACAAGACGGAAAACACAAGAACAAAGAGCTCCCAGACACCTTTGAGAAATAAAACACTCACAACGTGTCCATTCTGGATGAGGCTTCCTGCTACTAAGTAGGTGACATGAAGCTGAGCTCCTGAATTCTCCTTTCGTTTCCTCTCCACGTAATCATACAGCATCCTGCACAAAAGAAAGCAGTGTTAATCACCTAGAAAGGAAGGAGCCCGTCACCACCCCTTCCGTGACGGAGACACTGGTGATTTTTGGTACAAAAATCGCTCTGCTGGGTGTATATATACAATTCCAGTTACATCCACTGGGGTGGTGATCATTAACAGGAGGAAAGGGCACAATTAGTGAGGGCCAGATTGAGCTGAGACTCAAACTATCAGCTCCCACTTAAACCATTGCTTTATGAGTGTCCCACGTAACTGGGCAGAGACACCACACGCTCCCTGAGGACACTATATGGTAAAGATAATTAGAGATCGTTACTGGTACAGAGACAGACTGCAATTACCACGCTGTCCCAGCCAGTACAATCACTAAAATAATTAATTTGTGTTATCAGGTGCTTTCCAGCTTCCAGGAGAGAGTTTAAAGCACAAAGATGCCACTGGAGTTCTCATACCTTTGAAAATAACCTGGGGATGGAAAAGTGACTCCGTTTCACCCAGACCATCTCCTTCATAGTAAAAACTTCTCCAGCTCCTTCCAGTTTATTGTACTACCAGAATTGTTCCCAGTAGAGCTCTCCAGTCAGGTCTGCAGTGAGGTCTACATTCTGATTTACACCTCATCTAAACTGTTCACACACAGGCAGAGGAAAGAGACCAAACAATCTCTTCATTATATTAGATGCCTGAGTTGATATTCCAGGAGTTTGGACATGAGAATCGAGGCTGGGCTCAGGACACTGCAGCTGAGCAAGCAGCAAACCTCACTTTATGTCCAAGCTACAGCCAGAAACAAGGAGAGAAAATACTCATATTATGAGGCTTGACACTCTTATGAAGTCTTCAAATAATATGCTTAACTTTATCTTGATGTGTAGCAACAGCCCCAGAGTCCTTCTTTGTTTTATAGGATATTTAAAAGGTTACAGCAGTTTTTATTCTTCAAAATACACCAAGACAAGGCTACACGTTTATGCTAAGTTTGGAGAAGCAAAAACATTCTGACAGCAGAGCAGACTTCCTCATTCTTCAAACATTTATCAGTGCCCACCAGGCTCGAGAAGCAGATATTAATAACACATCAGGAACTACACAGCAGGGTGATCGGAGCGGATGAGCACCTGCCACACACGTGAGCTGGTTTGCATCTTCCTGACTCTCCTGCTCCCAGCAATATCCATGGATAAACCTACGGCAACCGGAGCCGCCAATCCCATCCTGGGCTGCATCAAAAGAAGCGTTGCCAGCAGGTCCAGAGAGGGGATTCTGCCACTTTACTCTGCTCTGGTGAGACCTCACCTGGAGTATTGTGTGCAGGTCTGGAGCCCTCAACAGAAGAAGGACATGGACCTGATGGAGAGGGTCCAGAGGAGGGCCACAAGGATGATCAGGGGGATGGAGCACCTCTGCTACAAGGACAGGCTGAGGGAGCTGGGGTTGTTCAGCCTGAAGAAGAGGAGGCTCCGGGGAGACCTAATAGCAGCCTTCCAGTACCTGAAGGGAGCCTACAGGAAGGCTGGGGAGAGCCTGTTTAGAAAGGCCTGCAGTGACAGGACGAGGGGCAATGGCTTCAAGCTGGAGGGGAACAGATTTAGACTGGAGATGAGGAGAGGGTTCTTCACTGTGAGGGTGGTGGAGCACTGGAACAGGTTGCCCAGGGAGGTGGTTGAGGCCCCTTCCCTGGAGATATTCAAGGAGAGGCTCGACGAGGCCCTGGGCAACCTGGTCTAGTTGGGGGTGTCCCTGCTGACTGCGGGGAGGTGGGACTAGATGACCTTTGGAGGTCCCTTCTGGCCTGGGCAATTCTATGATTCTATGATACGCAGTGGCAGATTCTCACAGAGGCCCAGCTCTGTCCACGGGACTGGAGCCCAGGTTCAGAAAACACAATTCCCATTTCAGGATGAAAGGAGCTACGTGCATTTCTGTAGCGATACGATGCTAAAACATCTCTTCTGACCTAAGTATTTATGAGGTGATAAGTATTATTATTGAGACCATTCTGCCCCTCTAATCCGCTCTCCAGGTGGTGAGACCCCACCTGGAGTACTGCATCCAGCTTTGGAGTCCTCAGCACAAGACAGACATGGACCTGTTGGAATGAGTCCAGCAGAAGGTCACAAAGATGATCAGAGGGCTGGAGCACCTCTCCGGTGAAGACAGGCTGAGAGAGTTGGGGGGTTCAGCCTGGAGAAGAGAAGGCTCCAGGGAGACCTTGGAGCCCCTTCCAGTCCCTCAAGGGGCTCCAGGAGAGATGAGGAGGACTCTTGATCAGAGAGGGGAGCCCTAGGAGGAGGGGGAAGGGTTTGCCACAGAGAGGGGAGATGGAGATGAGATGTGGGGAGGAACTTGTTTGGTGTGAGGGTGGTGAGAGCCTGACCCAGGTTGCCCCGAGAAGCTGTGGCTGCCCCATCCCTGGAGGGGTTCAAGGCCAGGTTGGAGGGGGCTTGGAGCAACCTTCTCTGGTGGGAGGTTCCATCCAGGGTGGAACTGGATGATGTTTAAGGTCCCTTCCAACCAAAACATTCCTATGATATAAAGCAGCATAAGGTGTCCAGCTGAGGTGCTGCTCTCTAAAGCACAACTCCCATCACAGTCCAGGCAAGAACTGCCAACGGGAGGAGTAAGGTATGTTGAATATCCATCCAGGGTGGAACTGGATGATGTTTAAGGTCCCTTCCAACCAAAACATTCCTATGATATAAAGCAGCATAAGGTGTCCAGCTGAGGTGCTGCTCTCTAAAGCACAACTCCCATCACAGTCCAGGCAAGAACTGCCAACGGGAGGAGTAAGGTATGTTGAATATAACTGACCTGAGAAGACATGCAGGATTTTTAAATATTTCCAGCGAGATCATTTAAATACAGTAACCACAATCATGAACTCAGTATTTAACAAGGCTTTGCCACAAAACAAAAGTCAGTGGGATGCACTAATACCTACTGTTTAGCCTGGTTGACGTGAACTCCCAGAGTGTAGCTTAGCCATTTGTACGTGACCTGTACAAGACAAAAATACCAAACTTTAGTAAGAAAACCTCTCTTGATTTGTTAAACCACCCTCTTTTGTGTGTTTCATGGGTAAGTCAAACTCTTTAGACTTCCTCCACTGAGAAACCCACAGCAAAACCTGTTAGAAGTGGGAGCACATGGACACCCCACCCACCTGTGCTTTAAAGAGTAGATTGAATCCTCAAGTCCTGAGTAAACTACCCTAAAAGGTGTGGTTTTGTCAACACCTTCTTGAAATGCCATTGCATAAATAAAAGCCACTCAAATCGCTTGCAGTGCTCAGTTTCAAAACAGAGAGAAAAATAAACAGCTCAGTTTTTAGGTGTCCCTGCCCAGGGAAGGGGGGTTAGAACTAGATGATCTTTAAGGTCCCTCCCAACCCAAACCATTCTATTAAAAATTCATAGAATCACAAAGAGCAGCTCTTATTGCTCTTCCAAGCAACTCTTGAGGATTTATCACATTTCTGACACCCTTGCCTGTCACGGGGACATGGGGATTTCCAGCTGCACCACAAGCCCAAGAGCACAGTGTGCCAAATTTCTGAGCCCAGCCCCACCACTGACTTGCTGTGGTATTTAAACAAGCCACGTCTTCTACACCTGTTTCTCCTCCCACTCCGCCTTTTTAAACTAATCCTCAGGCTACGGCCTCTCCTGCTCCAAATACAACAATTAAATTACATTTCATTAGTCTGGCAATTTACTGAAATAAACTATGACACAGGCAGTTCATGTTAATACAACTGCTTTGACAGAAAAGATGCACTGACTTTATCACTTTCTAGGCAAAAATCTCTATTTTGACAGAAACACAGACACACACGCTTATAATTTTTCTGAATTTTCCTAAAAATAATCAAGGCTTTCTACAATAAGTAGAGATTTTACTCTTAAGCTGAAGCAGTGATCCAGACTGCCTCAACCTTCCATGGAAAAAACCACTATTTCATACACTTATGTAATTTATAACTTCAGCTGAAACACCGCTACGCTGCTTTGTTTTGGAGGAAAACCACTGACCCATTAGGGATCACAAGGAATTTGGGGAGAGGTGCTTTTCCTGTGACACAAACGATGGGCATCACCAGTTCTCTTCAGAGACATTACGTTAATTTAAGGTATAAAGGGGCAAAAAATCCTGCCAAGAGAGGCATCTCCTGTCCAGAAAACCTGTCTTAACTCCATGTTGTGACTTGTGGAAAAGCAAAAGCTCCAAAGTCTGGAGAAGAGAAGGCTGAGGGGAGAGTTAACTCCTTGTTGTGACTTGTGGAAAAGCAAATGCTCCAAAGTCTGGAGAAGAGAAGGATGAGGGGAGACCTTATTAATGCCTACAAGTATCTCAAGGGCGGGCTGAGGGAGGAGGGAACCAGACTCTTTTCAGTAGTTGCCAGTGAGAGGACAAGGGGCAACGGGCACAAGTTGGAACATAAAGGGTTCCACTTGAATATGAGGAAGAATTTTTTCATGGTGAGGGTGACAGAGCCCTGGAACAGGCTGCCCAGGGAGGGTGTGGAGTCCCCTTCTTTGGAGATTTTCAAGCCCCACCTGGATGCTCCTGAGTAACATCCTCTGACAAGCTCTGGGTGGTCCTGCTTTAGCAGGGGAGTGGGACTAGATGATCTCTATGGTCCCTTCCAACTCTAAAAATTCAGTGAAATTCAGTGAAACACAGCCAGGCACCGCACATACATCCCCAAAAAATGAGTAAAACTTGAGCAAACAGCCCTGGGGGAGCGGGGGGGAGGGAGAGGAAGGTGGAGGCCTCCTCCCTTCTGCGCCTACAGAGAGGAGACTGGGGCACCCACGCGTGTCCCGCAGGTGGGTGCCATGGAGGGGGGGCACACACACACACACACTGCCTTGGCCTCACAACTGCCAACGGAAAACAGCTGCTCTCAGCGGGTTTGGGCTGTTTGAACCGAAACTGAGGTGGTTGGGGGGGGGGAGGGTTGCATTGGTGTCACCCCAGGCCCTGACACGGTGCCAGGCCTAGTACCCCCCCCTCCCCCTCAACTTCACCGTTTCCAGCCCGAGCCAGGTTTGGGGGCTCAACCTGAGGGGGTCCCCTAAACATGTAGAGTGACACTCACACACACACACACACACACACACACGGCAGGCACGCTGGGTGAGGAGGAAAGAGGGGGAGTCGCTCCCTTCTGAGGGGGTCGCGCAATGGCGGCGGCCTCCAACACCCCTCCAACCCCCCCCCAGCCCCAATCCCCCGCGCAGCCCCACCGGCGGGACTCACGATGCGGTTCTGGTCGGTGACGAACTCATCGATGTTCTCGAGGTAGAGCTCGTCCTCCATGGCGGGACAGGGCGGAGACGAGGTAGGCCGCGGGCGGGTTCCCGCGCAGCTCAGGGCCGCGGCCGCCAACCCGCCGCCATGGCAACCGGGAGAGCGACGGGCGGGAGGGGGGACAATGGCGGCCGCCAAGGGACAAAAAGGAGCGGGCCGGGCGCGGCGGCGCTGCCTGGTCCTAGTGCCTGCCCCCGCGGTTCCTCGGGGTCCCCTCACACTTAGGCCGTTCCCTCATGGCCCCATAGACTCTCGCCGTCCCCTCATGGCTCCACGCTGTCCCCTCACACAGCCCCAAGCTGTCCCTTCACGGCTGCACGCTGTCCCCTCATGGATCCACACTGTCCCCTCACACAGCCCCATGCTGTCCCCTCATGGACCCACACTGACCCCTCACACAGCCTCATGCTGTCCCCTCATGGACCCACGCTCTCCCCTCACACAGCCCCAAGCTGTCCCTTCACAGCTCCACGCTGTCCTCTCATGGCCCCATGGCCCCACGCTGATCCCAAACAGCCCCACGTTGTCCCCCCACACAGCCTCATGCTGTCCCCTCATGGACCCACGCTGTCCCCTCACACAGCCCCATGCTGTCCCCTCATGGACCCACACTGACCCCTCACACAGCCTCATGCTGTCCCCTCATGGACCCACGATGTCCCCTCACACAGCCCTAAGCTGTCCCTTCACGGCTGCACGCTGTCCCCTCATAGCCCTATGGCTCCATGCTGTCCCCCCACAGCCTCACGTTGTCCCCTCACACAGCCTCATGCTGTCCCCTCATGGACCCACGATGTCCCCTCACACAGCCCTAAGCTGTCCCTTCACGGCTGCACGCTGTCCCCTCATAGCCCTATGGCTCCATGCTGTCCCCCCACAGCCTCACGTTGTCCCCTCACACAGCCTCATGCTGTCCCCTCATGGACCCACACCGACCCCTCACACAGCCTCATGCTGTCCCCTCATGGCTCCACGCTGTCCCCTCACACAGCCTCATGCTGTCCCCTCATGGCTCCATGCTGTCCCCTCACACAGCCCCAAGCTGTCCCCTCATGGACCCACGCTGTCCCCTCACACAGACCCACGCTGTCATCTCACAGACCCACGCTGTCCCCTCACACAGCCTCATGCTGTCCCCTCATGGACCCACGCTGTCCCCTCACACAGCCCCAAGCTGTCCCCTCATGGACCCACGCTGTCCCCTCACACAGCCCCAAGCTGTCCCTTCATGGACCCACGCTGTCCCCTCACACAGCCCCAAGCTGTCCCTTCACAGCTCCACGCTGTCATAGACTTTAAATTAACTTTATCATGGAGAAGTATTTAGAAAACAATATAGATATATCAATGAAGTCTACGGCTTAGTGTGAAGCTGTATAAAAAATGGGATGCAGATGGGATGGGATTGGGAATTACAGATTGTGAATCATACAATCCCAGCCTGGCAAGGGTTGGAAGGGACCTCTGGAAATTCAACCCCCTGCCAGAGCAGGGCCACCCAGAGCAGGTCCCACAGGAACGTGCACAGGTGGGGTTGGAATGTCTCCAGAGAAGGAGACTCCACCACCTCTCTGGGCAGCCTCTGCCAGGGCTCTGCCACCCCCACAGGAAAGAAGTTCCTCCTCATGTTGAGATGGAGCTTCTTATGGTCAAGTTTGTGCCCATTTCCTCTTGTCCTGTCCCTGGGCACCACTGAAAAAAGCCTGGCCCCATCCTCCTGACATCCACCCTTTAAGGATTTAGAGGTGTTGATCAGATCCCCCCTCAGCCTTCTCTTCTCCAGACTAAAAAGACCCAAGTCCCTTAGCCTTTCCTCAGCAGAGAGATGCTCCAGGCCCCTCAGCATCTTTGTAGCCCTCTGCTGTCCCCTCTCCAGCAGTTCCCTGTCCTTCTGGAACTGGGGAGCCCAGAACTGGTCCCCAGGGCAGAGCAGAGGGGCAGGATGACCTCCCTCCACCTGCTGCTCACACTCTTCCTGATGCCCCCCAGGATGCCCTTGGCCTTCTTGGCCACCAGGGCCCATTGCTGGCTCCTGGGCATCCTGTTGGCCACCAGGACTCCCAAGTCTTTCTCCTCAGAGCTGCTCTCCAGCAGGTCCCCCCCAACCTGTCCTGGTCCATGGGGTTATTCTTCCCCAGGTGCAGCATCCTGCACTTGCCTTTATTTAAGTTCATCAGGTTCCTCTCTGCCCAGCTCTCCAGCCTGTCCAGGTCTCGCTGTATACGACATCTATCAGGTTCTTTTAGCTCAATTAATTGTTTGGGTTTTTTTTTTTCCATATACCATCTAGTTTGGTTAGTGAAGTGTGGCTTACAAATTGATCCTATGATTTAAATGATTGGCAATAGCCTATAACACACCAAACCGCCCTGAAGGAATTCCATAGTCCTCTCCCTTCACCTGGAAAATAAAGCTGTTCCGGCAGGACCTGTTCCCCTGGCACCGCATGCAGGTGGCCTGCTTCCTTTTACTGACAGTTAGGGAAAAGCAACACAAAAGAAATGAGTTTTTAGTGTCTAACGTTGCCTCCACATCCGTTTCTGCAGGAGAGAAGCGGCGCGTGTTTCCTCTCCCCTCTGCCTTTTCAGGCGGGATGTGGTGCTGAGCTGAAAAAATGTGCTTTTAGGGTCAGAAGTAAGTTCCTCCGACGAAGGGATCACTGAAACAGGCCCTTTATGAGCATTAGGTCTTTTCCTGATTTATATATTGTGTCCAGGGGTACCAGCTTCAGGAAACTGAGAGGTCCATATGGGGCTGAACCACTCGTCAGGAGAATTTTAAATGAACTTTGGGAGTCGAGATGAATGGAGTCCTGTATTGGTCCCCGAGAGCTGTAGCAGAGAAGAAAGGGAGGGACAGACTCTGCTGGTCTGCAAGGAGAGGTCACAAAATCTCAACTTCTCAAAGGAGTGATCTTCCTCCAGGTACCCGAGGTCACGACACCGGCCTTAACGTTAACGATTCCACCAAGTGTACATTTAATTAGCACGGGCTCAGCAAGAACCTTTCGCTCTGTGAAGCCAGAGATTTTCTTTCCGATTTTAAAAAGGAGCAGAAGGTCAAAATCCTTACCCACGTACTGCTCTTCGTGATAAATAAGCAATGGTTTTTTGCAGATTCTGGGGCTCCCTGGTTATTCTTGTCACCGGTACAAGATGTCTCCAGTTCTGCCCGTGGCTGGTGAAGGGTTATGATGCTATTTCATTGCATGAATCAGGTCCTTGGGCAAAAATGATCCTGCCCAAACCTGATTGAAACAGAGCAACTGATAAAATGAAGAAATAAAAATTGCAACCTGTGACCAAAGCGTGGAACGGTTTAATATTCATCTCCTTTTACATTTTTTTTACAGTTGAAGTTAAAAGAAGTGGTGATGTGACAGACAGAACCGCTTAAAAGTCCTGAAATAGCACCGCAGAGAGGGATACAAAGAGACTTGGGGAAAGTTCTGGGGAGACGCCCCCCACCCAGTGCTGCCTCCAGCTCTGGGGCCACCAACATAGGAAGGACATGGACCTGTTGGAGCGGGGCCAGAGGAGGCCACCATGGAGATGCTGGGAGGGCTGGAGCCCCTCTGTTGGGAGGACAGGCTGAGAGAGTTGGGGGGGTTCAGCCTGGAGAAGAGAAGGCTCCAGGGAGACCTTGGAGCCCCTTCCAGTCCCTCAATGGGCTCCAGGAGAGATGGGGAGGGACTCTTGATGAGGGAGGGGAGCCCTAGGAGGAGGGGGAAGGGTTTGACCCTGAAAGAGGGGAGATGGAGCTGAGATGTGGGGAAGAACTTGTTTGCTGTGAGGGTGGTGAGACACTGGAACAGGTTGCCCCGAGAAGCTGTGGCTGCTGCATCCCTGGAGATGTTCAAGGCCAGGTTGGATGGGGCTTGGAGCAACCTGGTTTGGTGGGAGGTGTTGGAACTGGATGGTCTTTAAGGTCCTTTCCCACCCAAACCATTCTTGGATTTTATAGTAAGTGTAGATCAAACAGCTCGGTAGCTGAACACTCATAGACCTCATACTCTACCTCAGCCAACCTGGTGTGTGTGTGACAACTTGGCTTGTTCTTTGTGACCTTATCTCCTCTTGCCCTTCCACCTGGCACATGTTGCCACTGTTCTGGTTGTACATACTGAATCCAAGGTGTAAATCGGTTTTCAGGACCAGCATCGACACTTGTCAAGGTACAAAATGGCCTTTAAAACTTTAAAACTTCCAACTTAAGTGACTTTGTCAAATTTTTTGGATTGTAAATCTGCCGAGTGCTACACTGGTCTTAGAAATGAGGACAGTGCGAGTTGGCCGGGGAACTGCATGGATCCTTATGGTCTGTAGTGAACGTTATTTACTTTGGGGCATTAAATTAATTGCAGACTGGCTCGTTAAGTTGGAACGAGGAGCTGGAACTGGAATTTACCTTGACTCTTTTCTCTGGATGGTAACACTAAATGATCTTTCATGGCTAAAATACGTAAAGGAATTGAAAAAGAAGGAAAAATGGGGAAAAAAAAATCTCAATGTAATGCAGCCAACTGAGAGATGCTGAAGAGTACGTGCCTGGGATCTCTCTCGCACAGCTGGAGCTGGTGGAGTGCGCGAATCCGAACGCAGGATCTGAAAATCCTTTGGGAGTATTCCCTTAAAGGCCCTGATAATACTCTTTTGAATAGGATTTGCAGTACTTTCACATGTGGCTCTTAAAAAAAAAAAGTGCATTAAACGTAAATTCCTCTTTGACGAAGCAGAGAAGTGTGATCCCCATTTCAAAGATGACGACACTGAGACACAGAGAGGTTGTGTGATTTGTCCAAGAATCTTTCAATACTCCCAGGTGTAAAGCCCGAGTATCCCGACTCCCAAAGTCTTTTTTTTTTTTTTTCCCTCGAAGAGCTATAAAGGATTCTTTCAAAGATCCCTTGTTAGTAACAAAATGTCTTGTACTTACAGCTGCCCGCAGCCAAAACCACCAGCACCCGCAGAAACTCAGCCCGAGGGCTCATAATAATGGTTGTTTCACAAGTGTTTTCCAAAAAAGCCAAAAAAGAATGGGCAGAGCCTCTGGAAATTTATTATATATAGTGGCTGGCAAGCATCTGCCTGAGGAGGAGTTTG